TGTATGGCTAAATTAATACCACAGTCATTGCCATGTCTCAGTGGAAATCCTTCATGTTAATTTTTTAACAATACTTTTTTAACAGTCAAAGTAAATGTGGGTTTATCTAATCCCTATCATCCATCCCACCCACCATTGCTGGTATGCAAAGAAATAACCAGAAGGCAGACAAATGGAAAAGAGCAAAAATATAAATTATTCAAGAATCAGGTAAACCAAGCCCTCAAATAGTATTAGTTATTAAAGGAAAGAATTCCGTGCATGAGTGAATGTGATTATCGGAGCAAATGAACATTTTCTCAGCCAGGAGTTTTCAGGCATTGATAAATACATATTCGTGGCTAGTGACTGATTTTTCCATGTTACGTTGTTTGCAGAGAACAACGGACCCTCTCTGAGAAAAATTCCATTACTCATCATCCATCATTAAGTGAGAGAGACATAATAGAATGGGGAAACTGAAGCTAGAAAAATTGAACGGCCGCAGAAAAGCCAAGAAAAAAAAAAATTAGAGTCATTCTAAACCTTCAGGATAATTGGTTCAGAATTTTGGTAATTAGAAAAAAAAAATTCCTTTTTGAGTACAAACTGGTTCAACTGGCATTTTTTTTTCCTGAATTTTAAAAGCAGAACTCTAAATAGCTCAACTGGCCTTCTAAACTTTCTTGTTGTTCTTAATTATATTTGTCACAATTGGAATTAATTTCCTATTTGGGCAACTAACAGAGCCCTTTCACAGTTTCTCTTGACATTTTCATTAAATGACTCTTAGTATTTCTCAGCAAATGGGCCTATTTGAAAATAGAAGCAATAATCTGCAAATGAACCCATTCAGACCGTAACAGAACTACAAACAAGCCCTGATGCTTTAAACCGGGAGTTCCCACCCTCCGGCTCAGACTATGGTGTCATTGTGAAGGCCTCGGACTCCACATGAATGCCAACTCTGGACTGGCCCTAGGTGGCTTTAAATCTCAACCTTCCCCTCCCTATGGGTGTTCTCATTTCCTATGGGTGCCTCACTTCCTCAATTGTAAAATGGGGGTTACCCACCTCAGAAGGGAATCTGGGGGGTTAAAATAAGACAATGTAGACATACATATGCCTTCAGGAAGTGTTAGCTAGTATCACATGCTGCTATTTTTCAAACGGATAGATGTTTATGGAAAAGCATTACTGACCTCATGGTATCTTTCTGACATGATTTGTGAATGAGGCACAGCTCCTATCGTGTGAAAGTCCTCATAGTTACCTTGAGTCACTTGTGGTTGGCTACTTCAGATCTTCCTCTTCTCTTCATCGCCTCCCTTCCTCTTTCCACACAGCCGGGCCTCCTGTAGGCCAGTAGGCCATCTCACCTCAGTATCATGAGCCAATTCTGCTTGAGTTACACTATTTGATCAACTACAGACACCTCCTCCCATGTCGCATCCTAGCGTCACCTTGCTCTCACCTGAGTGCTGAGCACTGAGCCCTTTTGTTCTTCCCCAATTCATAGTACCCAGAACCTAACTAGACATGGTGGATGCTCCCACCCCAGCCCTCAATATGTTCCATTGTGCATGACTCCACCCACCCCCCCAAACCCTGGCAGTTTTCTCATTAACTTAGAACACTTACTGTGCGTCAGCCCCTGTATGCCCATGTATGTCCATCATCTCTACACCTTCCAGCAACCCCCCAAGGGAGGTGTTATTAGTCCCAACTATGAGGAAACAGGGGCTCGGAGGGGTCAAATCATGAGCTCAGGGTCACAGAGCTGGTAGGTGGTAGAATCAGGATTCAAACCCAAGGCTGGCCAACTCTAAGACCAAGCTCTGGCCACTAGTCCATGCGACTTCCTTAAGAATAGAGAGCCACCCGGCTGGATTTCTTGTTTCTTTGCCCCACCCATGGCTGGGGCACTTTTTCCACCCCCACCCACATACCCAACTATTGATCTGGACTGTTTGTTGCTCCTGAACCACTGTGGTCAGCACCTGCCACTGACACAGCTCTCCTTGTCCACATCCCACACGCATCATCCCCTAGAAATCAGCCCCAGGTCCTTCTCATTCTGCTGGAAAGTAAACAGGTGGTGTGCCCAGGCTAAGCGATGACAGGATATGCATGATTTTCCTTATGCCTGTGTCTGGAGAAGAAAAGCTCACAAGTGGTAAGTGTTTGGATCTGGTGCTAACCGAATAGAGTCTGGTGCCTGAGGACATAAATCATAAATCACTCATTGTATCATAACATTCGGAATTAATACTTTCCTTCAACAAAAGGAGGAAGACAGTGGGATCCTGGCATGTTTTCATTTAGGATGTGCTTTATGCATTAAACAAAGGATTTTGTCGGGGGGCATTTTTAGGCTCATCAGTTTATGTAAAAAGTACGGTGTGACTCCACCTCCAACCAGCTTTGGAAAGTATGATTTTACTTATTTATTTTGGGGGGGGGGGAAGTATGATTTTAAAACCAGACTGCCCTGATGTGTTGTCGAAAAGGCAAGTCCTTGTTGAAAAGGTAAAATTATCTTCCTTTCAGTGCCTTTCTTCTGAAACCAATGGCATTCCTGACAAATTGCGAATCTGTTTATCTACTCTGATTAGCTGTTTTGGTTTGGGGATTGTGACCCTGCGACTCAGCAGGAGGAATTCAGTCTTTTCCTGAGGTCGGGGCTAGGCTTCACATCTGGAGTTGTGCTCAGGTTCCTGGAAGGATGACAAGCCACTTCCCTGTGTCAGTTAAGTAAAGCTACAGTTTAGCTTCTTTAGCTGTAAAGAGCACAAAGAGCAGAGGACGTAACTTCCCTAGAGAATATGGTCCCTTTTCACTAACGGCTATTTAAAGACTGGTGATGCCCACTTTACCAGGAAATTTTTCTCAATCTTGACAATATTTATACACAGAGATAACAGTGGCCAGAAATCATTTGAGGGGATCTCTACACTAATTATATTACGTGCCGCTTTGAAAAACATCCGCTCGTTTGGTTCAGCTGAATTTTAATAGATGAAAGCTATCTGCGTGTGTTTTTCTGAGAAACCAGTTTGAAAATAAATAATTGATAGGAGGCAGTAATTTCTAATTACAGCTGTGCCATTAACACTCAATTATGAGTTAGTGTCATGCATTATTTACCAAGTCAACCCAGAGAGATTGTTTTAAAAGCACTTAAGTATTTACATATGCATAACCCAGAGGATATTTTCTTTTCGGAAGTGGAAAAGACAATCCAGTCAGCAATTTTACTGAGCCACCAACCTCTAAAAAAGCTTTTCCTGAGATTGTCTCCACGCTGCATCGTGTTCCAATTTTCCTTTAGTTTCAAAGTGTCCTAGCAGGATGCAGACTCAGCTCTGCCTGAAAGGAGTACCCGAGAGAATCCTTTAAGCTCCTCCTGGGAGAGAAAGGCGAGTTTGTCCTTCCTTACCTGAGACTGGGCTTGAAGGGACAGCTTCACTTCTTCATTGTCCGCGGGTGTCATGCTGGTTTTGCCACAAGAGACTTTGTGAAGTTCATCCCGGCACTCTTGGGGCTTGCCCTGGCAAATCAGTCCCACGAGTCTTGAACTTTTGGTCCCGCTCATGGCACATTCGTAAAAAGTCCCATTGAGCAGAGCCACAGAAAGCCACATCATCGGAGCCACCAGTGAACTCAGAGTGATCTGACCGAGGACATAGAAAAAGCGGCAACTGTGGCCTTTGGGGAAGATTTTCCTGGGATTCACACAGCAGCCTGTGAAGAGCCTCCAAGACTTGCCGTTCAGGAAGAATCCCAGGATCAGTAACACCCAAGCAGGAGCGAAGAGGAAAACCAGCCCATAGACCACATTCTCGGTGCTGCAGGGACACTTAAAAGCCACCAGGGAAAAGAGACGCTCACTCCCCACGGTCAGCAGAGCCATGAAGCTGTAGCCAATTACAGTTTTCTGGTTGAGGAAGAATTTTAAAATCCCCTGAAAAGCATCCATGCTGAAGAGACACCAAGGGAAAAGGCTTTGCCCTTATTTATTGTCAGAGCCGCTGTGGCAGTGGCCGAGGGTGGAGCTCTTTCTTCTTTAGAAACAACAGTACTCCTTCTTCGGACTGAATTCAGCCAGATAAGGAAACAATGTCATTCCCCAGGAATGAGTATTTCCCAACCATGTTCAGATAATGCCTCCTACTGGTGGATTTTGCACCAGGGAACCGGGGCCAAAACACTGAGAATCAGAGTAAATTCAAAGTGCACCACTTCTGTTTTATATTATTTTCACGCTGCTTGGTTCTCAATCATAGATAGCAATAATAGTCTAGAAATATTCCAGCCAGAGGAATCAACGTGAGCAGAAACAGGTTTCAGCCAATTCACTGGGAGCCAAATCACGTCTCCAAGCTGGGAGTCTGGTGATGGCTTTTCCCTTCCTGCTTAAGACCCGCTGCTTTGGCTACTTTGCCTTAAGATCTGAAAGATTCATTTTACATCCTCTTAAACTGGCTAGTGTCAGAGACTTGAGCCAAATTTTAGGATTTGGGCTATTCAAAATTTAGATGGAAAAGTTTAGGGAACATTTGAGTTTTGAATGAAAGACAAAATGAGAAGGGTCCCCGTCGCTTCTTTCCCAGGCGATCATAGCAACCTCTCGATTAGTATCTCTGCCTTTGACCTCAAGCCCACCCCTACCCTCAACCCTAATGATGACAAATATTTTAATTTCTTACCCTCCTGAACAATATTTATTTTTGAAAACGATTTTTCGAGAAATAATGCTTAACTCTGTTTCATAAAGCATATTGTTTTCACAGAAAACTAGTCCCTTAGGATATTCCACAAAAATGAAAGGGTTTAAGACTTATACAGGTCATAGGGTCAGTACATTTCAAAGCTGAGTGTGAACCCAGACTCCCTGACTACAAACTCCACATGCTTAACCATCGTGCTGCACTGACTGGAACAGAGTATTTGGGTGCTCTGCTAATAGATATCTGCTCTAGACCAAGTTTTAGTAGAATTTTTTTTTCCCTCTTTATTAGGTTGCCTTTAAGATGTACTTGGGGATTACACCAAGTGTGACCTGTAACAATTCAAGCAGGACTGAATTTTCCCTGATCCTAGACAAGAATCCGCTGGTGGAGTTTGTGGAAGAGCTCCCCGCCGGGCGATCCTCTCTGTGCTACTGCAATTTACTCTGTGGGATTATCAGAGGTGCCCTGGAAATGGTAAAGCATGTATTTCATTTTGCCAGGTGTATTTGTTAGCTAGGGCTGTGTAGCAAATGACCCCCCAAATACAACTGCTTAAAACAGCAAACACTTATTATCTCACACAGTTTCTAAGAATCAGAAATCAAAACAACAAATTCTTACTATCTCACACAGTTTCTAAGAGTCAGAAATCTGCGAAGAGTTTTGCTGAGAGCACTTAGCTCTTGTGACTAGGAGCCTTTCAGAGCTTAATACCGGCACAGTCCCGCCGTTGGTCAGGGCCGCCGTGGTGAAGACTTGACGCAAGCTAGAGAATCCACCTCCAGGCTTACTCACGTGACCTCAGCGCCTGGCTGGTGGCTAGAGGCTTCATGAAATTCCTTGCCACATAAGCCTCTCGGTAGGTCCAGTCCCAACAGGTGCTGCCAACCCTGGTACAGAGTGGGAGGGTGCTACCTGCCGGTGTGACGAGCAGGAGGCAGAGATCATTGCGGTCTGTTTTGGAGGCTGGCTCCCACACCTGAATTATTCATTGACTTAACAAAGGCAGTGATCAGCATCTGTTAAAAGGCACTGAGCACACAAGATGAGTAAGACATAGTCACTGCCCTTTAAGAGTTTCTGTCCAGTAGAGAAGTCAGATATGTGAAGAAGTGTGGATAATGGCTATGGGAGGAGCTGGGTTGGGTTGGGTGGTGAGGCAGGGAAGACTTCCTAGAGAAACTCTGGGCTGGCATGTGAAGGATAAATAGGAGTTAGGGGAAGCAAGGCTTTAGGGTGAGGGGAGCAGGGGAAAAGGATATTCCCGGTAAAAGCAGCATGTCCAAAGGCACAAAAAGAATGTTTCAGTAGAGGAACAAGGAACTTGAATGAGTTCAGTGTGGGTGACATGTAGACTGAGAGAAATACTGTCATGAAAAAGGAGGGTTCACTTCTTTACAGAGGCCTGATTTTTTTTTTTTTTTTACCTATCTTAATGCAAAGACTACATTTTATCTGTCTCCCATAATGTACAGCATTGACACATAGTAGACTGAATATATATGTTGAATAAAAGAAAGAGAATGATCTGAAATTTTTCCAGTTCTAGGGTAAGGAGAAGAGGTTTCCATAGATTGGGTACGTGGATAGCTTCCCTGTGATTCAGCCTCTTGGGGAGGAACCCATCCTGCTTGAAAGTTTTCCAATCTCATTACAAAGGTTCTTTGTCCAGGTCATGAACTTGCCATATTTCACTTTTTGGGACCTGACTGTAAGAAAATTGGGGATACCATCTTCCAGTCTTTAACATTGCTGTCCATCAGGAAGAGAAGGAAACTAGGAAGGTGAATGATCTTCCCTGTTCCTCTAATCTGGGATACAGATACTGTGACCCCTCCTCCTAGGGAGGTTCTCCAAGTTACGGTTTAGTTTTCTGTACTGGGGAAGTCAGTGATGTCAACTCCACCAAAAGAACTTCCTGGTCCTATTTCTGAATTGAGACTTGAATGTTGTAGCACTTCAGGGTCACGACTTCTTAGAAAACTGGCTTGAGTTGTTCATAGACCTGCAAGAATCTCCTCGGCCGGCCGTCCTCTGGGCCAGCATGTTCCTCTCCCCAACCTCCCAGAAGTAACCTTCGTTCTCAGTGTTCCTTTTCGCTCTCTGGCCTTAACTTCATAGTCGCATTTCTCCCCTTGACTATTACTTGTCTCTTTTCGCTCCCCCTATTCCTCGTGGGGGGGTGCTCTTTGAGAGCTGTTATCACAGTCCTTTATAACTCCCCCCAGAGGCCTGATTTTTAAAAAGTGGCGGGGGGCATTCATATGACCCAAGCTTGGGAATTTAGACTTTTGTAATGAAAGCAGCAGAGACCCGGTATAGGTTGATAAACAAGGGAATGATATTTTGAAATTTGTGGTTTAGGAATTTCATTCCTTTGTCGTCAAAGTGAAAGTATACATCGTACAGGGTACGCTGCTGAAGGGAAGAAGAGGACAGTTGGGAAGCTGTGATGGTAACCTCAAGAAAAACCAGAATAGGGGTGCCTGGGTGGCTCAGTTGGTTAAGCGACTGCCTTCGGCTCCGGTCATGATCTCAGGGTCCTGGGATCGAGCCCCGCATCGGGCTCCCTGCTCCGCGGGAAGCCTGCTTCTCCCTCTCCCACTCCCCCTGCTTGTGTTCCCTCTCTCGCTGTCTCTCTCTGTGTCAAATAAATAAATAAAGTCTTTAATAAAGCCCTGACAATAGGAGTGGAGGGGAGAAGACCGATTTGAACAACATTAAGAAGGCAGATTAGTAAGTAATTAGACTGAAGACTAGGTTATCAGTTGACTGAAAGAGAAAGGTTATCAGTTGACTGAAAGATTGGGAAAAGGAGTCAGGAATTATTCAGGGTTCTGAGCAACCTGTAAGGATGGTTGCACTGTTAACCAAGAGAGTTCAAACCAGGGAGGGGTACAGTGGGGGTTAGGAGAGACAACATGAGAAGTTGGGAGGTTCTGGAGTGGAGGTGTCCACACAGGCAAGTGATGATATCCAATAAGCAGTTGTACACATGTCTGAAAGCCACAGAGAGATGTGGACCGAAGAGGCATTGGAACTGTCAAAAGATCGGCCGGAGGTGTGTAGAGGAAGAAGGAAAAGGAGTCACGGGCGGAACCCTAGGAAGCAATAACATGTACAGAGTAAGTTGAAGAGAGAATACAAAGGCTGCAAAGGATACCAAGAAGGAGGAATCAGAGGTGGGGAAAATACTAGGACAGAATGGAGTCAGAAACAAAGGAGGAGAATATTTCAAGAAGAGGGAGTGATTCACAAGGTCAAGGACAGCAGAGAAGCTAAGTAAAACAAGACCTGAAAAATAGTCAAAACACGTAGGGACTGAAAAGTCAGGAAGGACCTTAGTAAAAGCTGGTTTGGGAAAGCGAAGGAAGAAGAAGACAATCTGTCAAAGACTGTCGAGCCAAGGGCAGCTTAGAAAAAAATAATAGTCCACAAAGTGTCATTTTTCCAGAAGCTTAGCTATTAAGAGTGCCGGGACCAGAGAGTCCCCAAAGACTAAACATGTGTCGACCTACACAATAATGAGGCATTCATGTAATTTTTGATTATTGGTGATGGTTAGAGGAAGGATATAATAACAGATAATCCAGAAGAATAAAACAATCAAAATAATGTATTATTCACACAGATCTTCCATGCTTCTATCCTACCAATTTTTTAAAGGTTTGTCCTATCCAGAAATTAAGAAAAGGGAAGAGAAATGTTCTGGGAGCTTATAAGCAAAGGGATGAACCATAAAACAAAGGCAAAAATAGGATAAGGAATTCTCCAGCTTTCACGGATAACAGTTGATTCTAGTGCTATATGACAAACAGATACCAGACCTCATGTGGCCTCAAATATATATCCAAATAGCTTCAATGTAGCTTCCTTGCTTATTTCACTTGACCTGCTATTAAATTTTGACAAAGACAAAAATGATCTCATGGGGGGAAATGAGGGTGAATCTAGCTTCTATATTTCAATTGCCTACTAGACCCAGGCTTTTTCACTTATTATTTGCTTTTACCAACCAAGTACTTTTGCTTAGTTATCTTATTTATCCCAATGACTTAAAATAGCTGAATGGACACTCTGTTGAGGGTAGTAGGTCAGCAATATGCTGCTGTTATGTGAATACATTTTAATGAATAGAGAAGTAAGCCCTGTGGGATTACTTCAATGTATGGGAAGTGGGAAATGCTTTACAGTGGAAAAGAAGGGCTGGATATCAAATATTCATGTCTGTAATTTCAATCTTTAATTTTATATTTATAATTTATTTAGCTGATACTTTTTCAAAGCTCTTAAAGCCATAAGTGATTGCTCAATGTTGTTAGGACAAGTGATTATGTTATTTAGCTGATGATAGAATGACTGAACGCAAGTCAGTTGGAAAGAAATCGTTTAAGAATCCATTTATCCTTGGAAGTTCTGCTTGACAAGGCACATTGGCTCAAAGCTATCTTTGAGTTGGGAATTTGTGTTCTTCTTGAGATGGACCCATAGTTCAGCTGTGCACTGTGAACAAGAGTGGGCCCATATCTCTGGGCTTGCCCCACAATCATCCGGGTTGGGCCTGGCCTGGCGTACCCTTCTCTTTGCAGACTCACACCACAGAGCTGACACACAGCCAGACCATCTCTGGAGGACACACAATAAACGGCCCTTCATCCACAGAGCAAGCTCTTTTTTATCATCCCGTAAGGAAAGTCAGCCCCTTATAGGGTAAATAGAGCTGAAAACAGAGAAAAATGTAGAGAGGTTTTTTTTTTAAAACCTAAATGACACAAGCCTGTTTCTTTTTCCTTTCCTAGATTCATTTGGCTGCTGATGTTACATTCTTGCAAGACAGACTGAAAGGCGACCGTGTGACAGAAATAGGAATAACATTTCTGAGAAAGCTAGATGAGAAAAAATACAGACGGAAAAAATGAAGCATTGCATGCACAATGCCACAGGGGGGCCAACTGAGGATTAATATTATCTAAACATACAGAGCCATAGAAATTTTGAATTGTTTAATAATAGCATGGGCTTTAAAAGGCTTATATATCAGCCAGAAATTTGAAGTGCAGGGCACTAGGTTTTAAAGATTTTTTTTCTTTGCTGATAAATTATACATTTTCAATCTTATGTCCATTAGATTTCATATACAAATAACTCCTTATAAGATAGCATACATGAATTCACATATCATATAGCCCATCCTAACAGAGTCCAGTGATTTCATTTACTTATGGTAATGGGAAAAAAAAAAGCATACAAACTACACAGTTGGTGTATCCATCCATTCTCATTGGAAAAAATAGATAAATGATACAATATAGAGTTCACGATATAGAGACAATTTCTAGATACTGTATATTGCATTCTCTATAGAAACAGTGCCATTTATAACACTTTTCTATATTTTTGAGTAACTGTGGGTATGATTTCTTTCATATATTGGCTTGGTTTGTCACTTCAGCCTCCTGAAGCTGCTCTCTCTTGATTTATAATTACCAAGGCAAGCTGTTTATTTGCACGCTAATTCTGAAATATTTTTAAGGAGCATTTAGTTTTAATTCATGTAACTTTTAGATAGTATTAACCAAATGTCTTCCTATTCTCATGAAACATTGCTGATGGTCAGGCCAGGAAACCTCTAAAATGAGAGGTAAATAATGTTTTTTGAAAATACTTTCTTACCCCAAAGCGTATTCAGTTAGAATTTTTGCTGTCATTTTTATCCCCTAAAAAAACCTTACAAAGCATGCTTTGACTGTGACCAGAACATATTTTTTTTTTTAAAGATTTTATTTATTTATTTGAGACAGAGAGAATGAGAGACAGAGAGCATGAGAGGGAGGAGGGTCAGAGGGAGAAGCAGACTCCCCGCCGAGCAGGGAGCCTGATGCGGGACTCGATCCCGGGACTCCAGGATCATGACCTGAGCCGAAGGCAGTCGCTTAACCAACTGAGCCACCCAGGCGCCCTGACCAGAACATATTTAAAATTCAAAATGTACTGGATTCAATAAACAATAATCTTTACCAGACCATCAGCATACGCAGGAAGCTTCTATGCAGTCCAGAATCTGCTGGGCTCTGCAGAGAACTGAAATTCCAAGTAAGTTACAATTAGTGTGGGTCCATCACTTAAAACTGCTGTAAATGATATGATCGTGGTAGACCTCAACTAGGACTCAGGAGCCTAAAGACACAGTCCCAGGTCTGTTTCTAGTGGATTCAGCTGATCCTAACTGGTGGCTCAATCTTGGACAAGGCATGTAATCTCTCAAGTGCGCTCTCTCTCTCATGTATAAAATGGCACAATTGAAAAAAAATAAAAATTTAAAAATTTAAAAAAATTTTAAAAGGCACAACTGAACATGGTAAGTATCTTAAATTATATAAAAGAGTTTAAATGACATCAAAAACCATTGAACTTCCACATTTTTTGATTTTGAAGACTATGAGGAAATGGTTTGTTCCCTACCCATGCAGCTGTCTCTTCAAAAGGGCATCGAGGTCAGTATTAAGGACCAAATAGGGTCACTGGGGCAGCTGCAGCAACCATGGGAGGAACTTTAAGCCAGTTCCACAGAAGACCAGGTAGAATCGGGAAAATGAATATTACCTGACATCAGAAGGGATATCACAATGCCATGTATTTTAAACTGATGCCTCCAGAAGAATGTTTGCCTGCCATCCATCCCAAAGCTTCTTTTAGGGATGTTTCCATCTTCTGTTCTGTTTCCTCTTTGCCTACACTCACCCCTCTAGGAACGCCAAATACTCATGTCTAAGGGCCTCCCTCTTAAATCATTACCCAACTAGCCCTCTTGTAAATGTTCCATGCTCTGGAGTATTCTCTTACCTGACTACACCTTGCTCTCCTTTCTGTCCCAACCCAGCCATCCAACTGCCTTGGCCGGCTGTCTTCATGGCCCATCCACCTGAAGACAGCTGACGATGCGGAGTGTCAGAACCAGTGATGGCTTCAGGATAAGGCTCATTCCCCATCCTTTTATTCCCCCCCTCACCTTAGAGAGGGAGACAAGTCTTTTGGATTGAATTTGTGGTATGGACAGTGACCTACTTAACCAAGAGAGAAGACTGTTTGTGCAGTAGTTCCCCCTTATCCACAGGGGATATGTTCCAAAACCCCCAGTGGATGCCTGACGCCACGAATAGTACTGAACCCTATATATACTATGTTTTTCCTATATATATACGTACCTCTGATAAAGGTATGTTGTTTAATAGCTTCAATTTTTAAATTTAAATGAACGAAAATTAAATTAAAAGTTCATTTCCTCAGTCACACTAGTCACATTTTAAGTGTTCCGCATGCAGGCCATATGGGCTAGCGACTACTCTAATGTACAGCACAGGTCTGTAATTCCCAGTCAAAGATCCACGGGGTCTCCTTGACCTTGGACACCGAGAACTAATGGGGAGGATCCAGGTTAATAGAGAGGGAGAAAGGACACAGAAAGAAAAAGGTAAGAAAGACCATCAGAGATCAATGAAATGCTGAGTGGTGACCCATAAAAACAGAAAAGTTTCTGTGTAAAGGTTTCATACTAAAGGAAGGTTGCACACCATCCTCTGGATTCCAAGTGTATTTTCACCCCCTTTGTGTGAGGCTGAGTCTTCCATTAGAAAGAAATAAAAGCCTTGTGGAAGTTGCACAGTGTAAATACAGAGTTTTTATTTCATAAAAGTCTTCCCTCTGAACCCCAAATCTTGATCAAAGCAGAGATTTTTATTGTCTTGGCAAAGCCAAAAGGGAAGAAAAGTTTGGGGCAGAGAGAGAGTTTATTGCTGTTCAAAAGACATCACCAGATTCCTACCTGAGCTGTTTACTGGTGAGACCTGCTGTGGGTGCCTATTCACTGTTTGAGTTGCCAGGAATCAGAAATACTTCCCTCAGCAGTCCTCTTACTTGTTTATTGTCTTCTCAAAGCTCTTAGGTTCATCCAGTCATTATTAGAAGCCTGACTCTCTTTAGCAGTTGGAATGGACTATTATGAATAAGTGGAAAGTTCCCTTTTCTCTCTGTTTATGAAGGACCAAAGTAGAAATATGGAAAACCAGATGCATGAAGTGAGACAATGACATTAAAACTCTTGTAACCAAAGAGTCCACTTTAATCAAGTTCTGCTAAATGTTAACTTTTGTAAACGTTCAAAGAGATGGTATTATTCATTGTTAAGGGTCTGTCAGTTGGGACGGTAGACTCTGAGTGGTTGTTATATTTCACAGCCTCCTCCATCAGCTATGGAGGCTAATTAATTTCTCCTCAGTAACACCAAAGTCCATGATAGGTACCGCCCCAGCCATAGAAACTTGGTAGGACAAGCATTTTCTTCTTTGAAAAGAGAGCCAAGCGGGGGGGCGCCTGGGTGGTTCAGTCGTTAAGCGTCTGCCTTCGGCTCAGGTCATGATCGCAGGATCCTGGGATCCGAGCCCCGCATCGGGCTCCCTGCTCAGTGCAGAGCCTGCTTCTCCCTCTCCTTCTGCCCCTCCCCCTGCTCGTTCTCTGTCGCTCACTCTCTCTCTCAAATAAATAAATAAAGTCTTTAAAAAAAAAAAAAAGGAGAGTAAAGCTTTGTTTATCTTGCTTGGTTGCATATTAAAAAAAAAAAAAAATCTGCCCAGTTGCTGTACTTCTTCATTCTGGTAAACCTTCCAGAACTTTAGCTGGACATGACCAGTGGTTGACCAAGAGTGGTTCCGGCAAATAAGCAGACAGAAGGAAAGGGGATGTGACAGTCTAGTGCACCAGTCTATAATCTGAGAAGGAGACACCCAGTTCTTACTCAATCCGCCGTAGTCGCTTTACAGCTGAGACCAAGGCATAGCCACAGCGATCATTAGCAAAACTGTCTTTCTCAAGTGTTTCACTAAGAAAGGAGGCGCTGAACAAAACGCATCAATGGTTGGAAATCCCTCACTAAAAACATAAGAAAGAAATGTCCTAGGACAATTCTTTTTTCCCACTCAAACTCCAACTCCGTATTTCCCAATTAAATCTTTCTTTGTTTTTCTTCCTTCAGTTTCTTTTGTCTTCCATTTTTTCTTCTAGGAGCTCTGTTGCCACTACATATGCTTCTTCTTCTTTTTCCCAAAGATTCTTCCTGCAACTCCTTTACTTCATCCTTTATTCCCTCTTCCACTTCCTTTACTTTCATTATGCTTAATGTAATGGATATTTGCTGGCTGCCTATATCTCCACCAATCGAATGGCGTTTTTTTCTGTTCAGCTGCCCACCATTTTATTAGGCAACCCATCCTTCAGGAAAGGTCATCTCTATCCCCTGCTCCATCGCTATCCCCTGGGCACAGTGGCTCTATCCCAGTTGAAAATCACCACTTTGCCAGTCAGAGCTAAGCCAGTCAGGACATGGCATTCCCCAGACCACAATCATTGCTGCTGACATAGAGCAGACGACAAGGATGAATGGACTGAAAGAACAAAAGTCTGCCTGTTACGTGAGCTAATAAATTTACTGCATTCTTTGAGCAAGTAGAGTTGTGTTTCTGTTATAGTAATGCAACGAAGTTCACTGCATGATAAACAGGTGAAAGGTCTAGATAATTTGCAACGTATTGGAGAATACCAAAGAGAATAAACTTTATTATTACATTTTTCGTATGGTTGAATGCTCAATGAAATAAATTTGGCTTTACGATAGCTCTCCTCCTCACAAAAAGGAAAAGGTCACAGAAGAGAGAGACTAAAAACCATGCAGGATAGTGTGCATACACCCAGCACACAAGTCCCAGAAAAGGGAGACGCCATAGGGAGAAGATATTTTGAATCAGCGGTAGCTCTTTAAAAACAAACAAAACTCATACATTTCAGGTACTTCAGCTATTTTTACTGGAAACTTAAATCCCATCAGGAATCACCCAGGGATTCCAAAGTCAGAACAATCCTGATTTCTGGAGCCTCCCAGTGGCCTAAATCTTCCAAGCCAGCAGACTACTTAGTGACTTGGTGTTTCCGAGCAGTGTGTGAATCACGTAGATTTTAATGGCTTAAAATAGGAAAGGCTAATTCCCTGTGGTCTGTGTATACCAAACAATAGAAGCACCTGGAAATGCTGCTTTCTTGGTTTTGGATTCAATTAAGATTTTTATCTGGTGCTAGGCACATCCATTATGTGGTGTGTCACTTAATTTTCATAACAATCTGCGAGGCATTAGGTGGGTAACAAAGACAAAGAGATGGATATGAAACTACAAAGGAGCTAAATTTACCCGTGCTTTAAGTGCATTAAGACCAGGCTGGTGAGTGGAAGGAGGGGGCAATGCTTGTCTCCTGTCTCCCTTGAGAGGCTGAGTGAGGGACCACAAGAAGAGGAGGTAGCTTGGAAAGAAGCTAGTAAGCTGTGAATATTTTGAGTTTGAGGAGCCTTTGAAATATCCAAAAAACCTCAGAAGGTCAGAAGAGAGGCCTGGACTGAAGATGGGCTTTGGAGTCATCGATACATGGATAATAGTAGAAGCAGTGGATGTGGATGGCAGCATCTGTGGAGAGCATGGACTTCAGGAAATACAAGGAACAAAGAATCTTGACAAATACTACCATTCAAGAGGCAGCAGGGAAAGAAGAGCATAGGTGAGGTTGACCTTTCCATCACAGACAGAGATGGGAGAACCTGGTGACCTGAAAGCTAAGAGAGTCTCAAGGAGAACAGAGTGGTCAGAGGCATTAGATGCCACAGAAAAGCCAAGAAAGGCCAGGGAAGGGACATTGGGTTTGATAATGCAAGACATTTGAAGATACAGGAGAGAGGGAATGACTGAGGAAGCA